TATGGACGTAATAAAACACTGATCCGAATACGTTCCCCGAAACATCTCGTAGTTCTTTCAGCAGGACGCAACTCCAACCCAAAGAGTCAAGCTTGCCCGCGAGTGGTGCCGATGACAGCTGCCCGACTTCATCGGTAAAAAGTAATGGCCATCCTATTTCCAGAACTTGTCTCACTTGAGTACCCCGTACGGTTCCTGGTTAGAAGAGGACCTGTCGAGTTTGTAGGCCCAGTTTGCAGTCCTAGAAAGCAAAACCTGAAGAACGGCTGAGAAGAAATGGAGAAGGATACCTGCGTGCCACATGCGATCAGCTCGAGGGTAAACTTTGGACCTCTGTCCGCGCTAATGGGGGGTATTATGAAGTGTGATTGCAGCGTGTTGTAGCAAAAGTGTTAACTAATGTGCATAGAAATTCCATCGTCTCTCGCAGCTGAGAAGCCTCAAATATATTGCTATGAATTGGCGCAAATATTTTTGGGACACCCTGTATACTTACAAATGCCCCGTATGCAAAAGTTCATGCTCGATCCCTTTGTTTTTTTCCTGGCCTCCACGTTTTCATTGAATCAAGTTATGAACTTATTTGGAAAGTATCAGGTAAAAGGAAGTACCACATGTGCTTCTTTGGTCTTGTCTTATGCCCAACCCATCCCACACTTGACCCGACTTCTGCAGGTGCTTCAGGTAATATCGAATTTCCGTGCGAATAAATGGACAAACAGACAGACAGATACAAACGCGTTATAGATAGTATGATACTGACACATTCCCCATCAAGGTGTCAAGGTTCCACTGCTAATATAAAGGAAATTGCAAAAGGAGCGACTCTCGCCTTCTATGGCAACCTTACCATGCCTTCTGATCAGTTGTTATCACCGGAATCTATGGTGCAACCTACATCATAATCAAGGTGTCAAGATCCACTGTTGATAGGGAGGGCATGTAATCTATAAAGTGACTCCCAGCTTCTTATCAACCCGTATCAGTTGCTGTCAGTTCTTCTCATTACAGGCACAGTTCCCTATAAAAATGGTAACAGAGATTCCTCCTTAGGCGCTGCTAGGTCGAAAAACGTCCAAGGGCAGAGTAAGGATTCCAAAACTAGCTCAGCCGACTCACACTCACAGCGGACGAGTTCTCAAGTGTTTGTCAAGCTGTAGAGGTTGCACCAATCATGCAGGGACCCATAACTTGCACACAACCAGCTGTATGAACACGTGCACAACTGAACTGTCCGTTCGAATTCCCCTTTCATGTGACTTCTGTTGACCTAATCGCGCCAAACTCCTAATTTTACCTGTTTTTTAAGGCTACATTTTTCTCTCAGTACGCCGATTATCGAGTTTTCTCCATTATTTTTGCACTAATCTGAGCAAACACCTAACATGAAGAATATGACAAATCTTTCTGCTCCTGGCTTCTGACACTGCTGACCAGTCCTCATCATTTGCTATCATTCCCTGCGACCTATTGTAAGTGTTTAAACCCTGCCACCACCATCTCTTAAGACTTTTTTAGCTCTAGGTATATGACGCCATTAGTTACGAAATATCTGTCAAACACAACGACGCACACACGCTGACATATTAGACTGACGCACACACACGACACACACATACTGACACAGACACCTACCGACACACAGATGCACACACCGACGAATTATTTGTATTAGGAGAGGATGCGCACTTAAAATGACTCTCATGACTCCGCTCAGAGAATATTTAGGCAAATTCAAAAAGCGGATTCCAATTCGGCGTTCGAAAGCATGTCTAGCAAGTGACCTCTGTTCAAATGACCACGAAGACTCGGACCACTATAAGAAGGTGAGAATTTACAGAGGCCCCATTACCCGTGGCGGAGAAAGGACCCGCTTAAAGTTTGCATTGACACGTTGCGTTAATCAGTATCGAACTACCGTGGCGCGGACGCTGCAAAAAGCACAGTCCAACCTTCAAAATACAAACTTGAAAGATAGCCTTTACTGGCCTGTGTTTCTGCTGTTTTACCGAAAAAGCTAGCTTGCGGCCACGGCGAAATGAAGAATCTGCCATCCCACACGCTGCAGCACCAACCAGCATTGGAATAGAGCTTCACATGCTCACCTGGAGATTAACACTTTCATCCCAAGTTCGTCAAAGAACCGTGTAACTTTCCTTGCTCAGCTGATTAAACCACTTAGATAATCATTGAAGGCACGGTTCACGATAAAAAAGGTTACTGAGTTCTTCCTTTAGGAATACTCAGCGCCCCCCATGGGTGGTGGGTGGCGCCCTCTCGCTTCCACAATTTCGGCGCTCAGGGCATAGTGGAAGCCCCGTTGCTGCCGTAGTTCGCTTTCCCGCCCCTCGATCGGTGTCTCGTTAGACGAGTGTCGAGACAATACAGATTGCTATTATTCGTTCTAGGACCCATGCACAATCAGCTAATCGCCGAGTGACGAGGCGATGTTCTTCTCCTATTCTTTT